AATTTTTTTTTTTTTTTTTTTTTTTTTTTTTTTTTTTTTACCGCTGACAAAACCACGCGTGCGGTGGTCAATGGACATGTTGTTGACATAATCTAGAATAATAATTTTGATTCCAGATGGGAGGTTATGATGGAATGATGTACATGCAGTCCCTATCCATCAGCTTGATGTCCGACCCTGTGGCGACACCTACTGCCTGCCCGAACTGCATCACGGGAAAACTGAAAGCCCCCTTTCCCACGTCTGACGTCATTCGGCCGGGAGAGGCATGTAACGGGCGATTTGGCGACTTTCAGACGTGTGAATCCTGCCTTAAAGTCGCTGTCTGTTACTCCTACCCTCTACCAATCTCATTCCCCTGTGAGGCGGGGAAGGTATACGACCCCCAGGCTCCAAATCCCACGGGGAATCCCACTAGCAAGTGCCTCGAGCCATGGAAGACGAACGCGTGCTCTTTGACCGCCCAAGATCAGGCCGCCATTTGTTCCCATTATCAAGGCGCGACCCCAGGGAGTGAAGCGGCCATGTATTATAGTACGCACTGTTATTAAAGAGTCCATGGTTCGATTCTCCACAGACCTTTTTCGTTTGACAAATGAGCAATTTTTCTGAAAATTTAGACACATTTCTACAATCACCAAGGCATATTCTTTTAAAATGTGTACACGACCAACAAAGGCGTTTTCGAATTTTTAACACCCTGTGTACTTTATCCATCTTCAGACCAAAAATAAGAAATTTAAAAACTCAAAGACGGCTCCATAGACCTGGAATTTGTTAACGAATTTGGATATGAGGTTCACTCAGTGGTGATAAAGGAAAAGGTGTCGAAATTTTCAGTAAAATTATTTATTTGTTAAGTTTAGGTTTAACCAGCACTGTGTGCGTTACAGGATGTGTAAGTCCTTTAAATAGGGATTGTACACCTAAGCAACGTCTTATACGAAAACTTCCCTTTTTAAGCAACGTCTTTACATTGCTTTGCTAATTTTGGTATGAGGATGAGTAGATACCGGGATCTGCATTGTCGTTTATGTGTTGACATTTGTTATTGTAAGTGTACCTGGCAAAGTGAATTTAAATAATTCGAAGTGTAAACTGTAACTCAGATAATGTAATTTGCCTTCACGAGAGATTGCATTAGAGAAAAAAGGATTATTTCCTCTTGGGGACAATCGGTGCAATTGTACGTACTAGTACATGTAAGTTCAATGTGTAGAATAAAGTAGTCTGTTTGCAAATATAGATCATTGTTTCTTTTCGACTTGATTATCAGTCATTTACAAGTATTGATCGTTGCTAACTGTACATGTAACATTTTAGAAAATTGCTGGACTTGAGAGAAATTAAAAAAAAAAGAAAGAAAGAAAGAAAAATACTCTTCGACTATGTTTCCATACTTAGATCGATCCATCTGGACCGACCCAACTCCCTGGGGAGTCTCACTTAATTGCTGCCAACTTGACTCGCTTAAATGCCTGCCACGCCTAATAAAGCTGTAAGGGGATAATTATCTTTACCCCCTAGCTGATTTGGTAGGCGTGACAGACATTTATTAAGCCGGATAGTTGATAACAATCAAGTGAGACTCCCCACGGAGATAGATCGATCCAAATATCTGTGGGAATGGTCCCTTCGAGTATACGGCTGACTGCGTGTTTATCTTTGACCATAACAATTCAAACCAAAGATTCACTTTGTAAAACATTGTCACTTCTCTCTGAATACTTGATTAAAAAAGATAACGCCTATTATTCTGTTTATCTTTGCGAAACATTACAGCTCAAACCAAAGATGCACTAAGTAAAACATTGTTCCCTTTTTATTCAGAAACGATTATGGCGATTATTCTGTTTATCGTTGCTGACTCTTACAGCTCAAAAACAGAGATGCAATAAGCATCACATTAACACTTCTAACTGAATACTTTATTCAGAAACGATTAGAGTAATTATTCTGTTTATTGTTGCTGACTCTAACAGCTCAAAACAAAGATGCATTGAGTAAAACATTATCACTTTTCGCTAAATACTTTATTCAGAAACGATTATGGCGTCGTCTTGTGTTCACAGAGGGCAAAATTTACAATGTAATTTTAATGACGATTAACTTTGACACGGTTGGTTCACACCCATCATGGGTGAGGTTGAGGCTTCCTTTCATCTTGTTAAAGCTGTCATTTAAATAGCACGACAAAAATTAAAGAAGATATCCCACTTAACGGTCCGTTACATACTAGATATTACCAGAGAATATGTGAACTCGTGGCGTACTTCGGTGTACTTGGATTGTGTATCGCTGGCTACATACTTGTGTGACATTTCTATCTTTTACCTTGTGTTTGTGTCAAAAAAATACATTATTTAAATTTTTATTATTATGTTGTGATTTCTCTTTGAACTACCGGAAGGCGATCTGTAAAACGAAAACGACATCCGGGTTTCCGGGACGTTATTGTAGAATATTAATAAATTTTAACGTGAAAAGATCGTGACCCATACGATTATGTTTTCCGTTGTGAGGGAATCTGCATAGAGAAAGAAAAAAGAAACAAACAAAATAAATAAATAAACAAATAAATAAATAAATAAATAAATAAATAAATAAATAAATAAATTAACAGAGAGATATAGGAAACCAGGCAGATATTCGTTTTGCAGGACGAAGTAAAGAAGAAGTAAAATTGTCATCATAAGCAAGTTCGCAAAAATTGTCAATAACTGTTTTCTAACCCACACGTTGATCAGGGCATTATTGCTCGGTCGTATGAATTAATTTCTAAAGTTAAAATACTTATCTTTTATTAGTCTACTATAACCTTGTAGTTTTATAAGTACATATATATTATGATATCCTCTTTTAATAGTCTTTATTTTACAAGCCAGCCTCTCTCCCTCTCTCTTCTCTCTCTCTCTCTCCCTCTCACTCTCTCATAGACCCCAGTCTCTCTCTTTCTCTCATAGTCCACAGTCTTTCTCTCTCTCTCTCTCTCTCTCTCATAGACACCAGTCTCTCTCTCTCTCTCTCTCTCTCTCTCTCTCTCTCTCATAGACCCCAGTCTCTCTCTCTCTCTCTCTCTCTCTCACACACACACACACACACACACACACACACAATGATATCAGTAACCATATCAAGCCTTTAAGTCACACAGGGGGCAATCTCAGCATATTTGAGGACCTGGGGTTAGGCAATTAATTTCCCGTAAACTTTAACAGTAGGATAACTCCACATTATCCGTAAAAGTAATGCACATTTACCTAAGGTATAACGATTGATCGTGCGCTCCCGCTTTCAGATGTCTGGGTTGAATTGAAACTGTCTTCTGCCTGGACGTGTATTGTTTATATTAATCTACTGAGTCCAGGTTTTGATGTTCGAAATGCTGATATCAGGTACGTACGTGGATTGGGCGTGTCTTGGTCACGTGATTTCTATTCTGGCAGAATTTCTTGAAAGGGGTTCATATGAATGTAAATTAGGGGATAAGACGTCAAAAATTTTAAAAAATTATTTCAGCCTAAAATTTGCTTTATGTATGTAAGGATGGAAGAAAGAGGAGACAGAATTTGCAAGTTCTTCAAAATTTAACTTGAAAGTTGACCCTTCAAATATATATGGAAATCCCTTTTTGTGGTTAAACCACAGGATTGTGCCCCGAAACGCGTATGTCAAATTCCAACTGTTAACATTATTTGGGAGAAAATCACATCATCTGAATCCTTCACTCGTTTGGTTGTAACAAGTTTGATTCGCTAAAAACTTTTGGGTGAAGAGGTATAGACCCCAGGCTCTCTCTCTCTCTCTCTCTCTCTCTCTCTCTCTCTCTCTCTCTCTCTCTCTCTCTCTCTCTCATACGCAGTGATCATTTGTAGTCCCCCAGAAGAGAGCACAGTATCGTCATCGTCATAAATTCACTGATTCTCAATAGATAAACCCATTTAACATATTTTATTAAAAGCAAGCGAGCGGAGGAATTATTTGTCCAAGTGGAACATTACTTACTTCAGTCTAGCAACTTAATCATCGGCATCATCAATTCCTTCTACGCCTACTAGTGTGCAGGGCACCTACAGTACGAAAATATGCCACTGTTTTCATGTACTTGGGAAAGAAGTCGGCTGAAGAAGTTACACCAAAATTAAGCTTAAGAGAGGTGGGGGCTGCGAAAATTTGTCTCATTTAACGCTCACTTACGGTGCTCGATCTGTCCAAGAACATAACGTTTTTCTCTTTTAATGAAAAATGTTCTTAATCGGTTCTAGGACATTCTGAAGGACTTCCCAAAACAGCTCTCGGACTGTTACACTTATTACAGAAAAACATTAGAACTGTAAAAAAATACACCAAATGTTCTAGAATAGATTGAGAACCGTAAGTGAACGCTAAAAGAGAAAATTTTCGCAGGGGGGGGGGGTGACCCACTGGGCCACATTCTCACTGTATCCACGATCGTCTTTGTTTTCACCACGTAATCATTCATATTGACAAACACTATATGATATGTATATCATTTCCTAAACTTATTACAGCCCCAATTCTCTTCCTTGTCGTCTGCTGGGTTCAAGAAGTCAGCGCAGGAATCTGTGCAACCGGTTTACCGAAATGTCCAGCCAGTCCAAACCCAGGTCAGTTGCAATTGGGGAAGACGTCACTTTAGAAATATGACGTCAATAATGACGTCAGAAAAGTAAGAGATGACATCAGAAAAGCTGGAATTAACATTGGTCCATACTACTTAAGTTTAACATAAATTCATGGCATTTAAATTAAATAATGTAAGTACTGACCCCAGTTTCACAAAAATAAATAAATAGATAAATAAATAAATAACTTTAGTCAGTTCCCTGGCTTAGTTGACTAGGATTTCAATGAGATTGTTGTAACACTGCTACTGATGGGGTAAGATGGCCATGTAACCTTGGTAACTAAGTTCTTGGCCAGAGAACCTGACTTAAGACTTTTTTTTTGTGAAATCGGGGCCTGGCCTTAACCACTAGTCATCTCTTTCTTGACTGCTGTGACATAGATGAAACATGTTATTTACATGTTATTACATTACCTCTTATTTATTTTTGGTCGGAAATGTGTGCCAAGCTAAGTGTTAACGTTCATGTATGTAGTCACTTAAAACTAAGATACAGGGGATAGATGGCGCCACTATATTTGAGCTCTCTGTCCTCTGTATTGTCTCACCTAACACATTGTCTTCACAGATTGTGCTGTGCTGGGGCCGGGTTACCACCAAGATTGCAACACGTGTTTGAAATATTTCTACTGTGCCAGCAGCAGCTCGCAGCCTGTCCCCATCGTCTGTGAGAACCCTAAGATCTGGAACCCGGTAAGGTTTTGCCTTCAGTGCGTTCTCAGTGAATCTGTCCAACGTAGTCTGCGGGGACTCTCGCTGAATGCAATCGGAATAACAGATTAACACGTCTCCAACGTTCTCGTGTTATAGCCAACTTACCTGTATTGTACTGAAACGCCAGGAGGAGGCTTTTTTCACATCTGTTAAGCCGATCGCATTCAGCAAAAGATCCAGTAGAAAGAATGGACTTTAGCTAGTACAGAATGTTCATAGTGAACACACCCTCACACCCTTTCACATCGAGAGGTACACTTAAGCAATAATTTCCGTATCGGTACACTTTGAGATACCGCTTGTATCGGTGCACTTTGGAGGAGCGTACAGTCTTATTACGTTACAGGAGATTATACTCGCTTTCACAAGTTCGCTTCCTACTGTTAATTAGCCGGGTCTGGTAAGATGGGTCACTTACGCAATAAGCGAGCTTTTTTTTAAATAACAAA